AAGACCTTGTCAAGATGTAAAGGACTACTGTATGAGTTAGGGACAATTTAGTATTTATGTAGGTCACTGTATTTATCTATGATTTTTAACTGGCAAAATCAATTCCTTCCTTTTCATGGCATCTCCCAAATCACCTTCAGTGATTTTTAAAAAAATTTCATGATAACTCAGTTTTGCAAAACAAATACCAAGATGAACTCTATTATAATTCTCACATTTATTTGATGTCATTTAGTTATGTCATCAATGATTAGTGAGAAATGTATTGCCCAGTGCATTGCTGATAATCATCTATGAGGTGATTACCACTCCTTGGTGATTGGTAGCTTACTACTTTATATTTTAGGTTCACAAAAATCAGCTCTCAGTTGGATAATGCCCTCTATTTGATATTTTTGCTATTGAAGACTAGTTCCACAAAAGTTGCTGTTAAATATTTTAGAAACTCGACCTTTAATGGCTACCTCCTAATAGGTATTTTAAAAATATAGCTTGGGGGCTGGCCGAGTGGCTCAGTTGGTTAACTCCCTCAAGAGTGCAAGCTCTGAGCAACAGGGTCGCCGGTTCAATTCCCAGCCTGAACTGAGCACCACTGAGCTGCCAACAGGTGGCAGGGAGGATGGCTCAGCTAAAATATATATATGGTTGTCAGAAAAGTCATGACGCATGTTTGCAACAGATGGCTCTAGTTCATTTTTGGAAGTACTAAAGTCATTTGCATCTATGTTATTTCTATGTCATTTGGCAGCCGACAGTTGTAGCTTCATTCTAAAAAAAAATTGACCGATTTGGTTGAGTTTTGGAGATTTTACAAGTTGAAGATGGAAGACCAAACTGTGCATTTTTGCCATATTTTACTGTTTTGCTTCCATAAAGGCAAGAAAGTGCGCCAAGCTTGTGAAAAGTTGCATAAAGTTTACGGTGACAATGCTGTACAAGAATATCAGTACCAACGAAGGTTCACGAAATTCTGTGCTGGTGATTTTGATCTCAACGACGCTCCTTGGTCAGGGAGGCCCGCCGATGATGACAAAATAAAGGCATTGATTAAGTCAAACCCATGTTACATGACACGAGAGATTGCAGAAACATTGCACACCCATGATTCAAGCATTCACGACCACCTGAAGAAGCTGGGATATGTAAACAAGCTTGATATTTGGGTTCTGCATGAACTCAAAGAAGTTCATTTGACGGCGCATATAAACATCTGCAATATGCTCATTAAACGTGAGGAAACTGATCCTTTTTTGAAGCGACTGATAACTGGTGATGAGAAGTGGATTGTTTACAACAATGTAGTGCGCAAACGGTTTTGGTCTTGACATGATAATTCGCCTCAAACAACATTGAAAGGAGACATTCATCAGAGGAAGGTTATACTCTCAGTGTGGTGGGATTTTAAAGTAGTCGTATTTTTCAAGCTCCTATCAAGGAACCAAACAATCAATTTGAATGTGTACTGTTGGCACTTGGGCTGTTTGAACAAATCCATCATCCAGAAACGTCCAGAGCTTGTTAATTGTAAAGGACTTGTGTTCCATCGTGACAACACAAGACCACACACAAGTCTGATTACCCATCAAGTATTATTGGAGCTTGGATGGGATGTGTTGCCACACCCACCATACTCACCTGACCTTGCGCCGTCAGACTTCCACTAGTTTCGCTCTCTTCAAAACTCCTTGCGTGGTATAACGTTCAATTCAGATGAGGCTGTAAATCAGCACCTTGTTCAGTTTTTGCAAATGAAGACAGGTCCTTGTATGAACGAGGAATTATGAAGCTCACTGAAAGATGGCAAAAGGTTATTGAACAAAACGGGCGATATATCATTAATTGATCTTTGTTCTTTATTTAAATAAATTACCTTTGAAAAATATAGACAAAATACATCATGACTTCTCCGACAACCCAACACACACACACACACACACACACACACACACACACACACACACACACA